AACATACGGATACAATCCCATCCAGACGCAGCTTTACAGTGTTCCTCCATGGGCTGCTGCTTTTGGTTTCTCGCTTGCTGTCGCGTTTGCGTCAGACAAGCTTCGACACCGAGCCTCATTCGCCATTTTTGCCATCCTCGTCGCCATCACTGGGTTCGCAATTCTTCTAGCCGTCCACGACAACCACTCTGTCCAGTATGGCGCTCTATTTCTCGTCACCATGGGCGCATACACCGCTATGCCCATTATTGTTTGCTGGTTTAACATGAATCTCGGAGGCCACAAGAGACGAAGCATCGGCAGCGCATGGCAAGTTGGCTTCGGAAACATTGGTGGTATCATCGCCGTGTATGCCTTCTTGGCCAAGGATGCACCGAAATTCATCCCGGGTTACTCCATCTGCATTGCCTTTACTATCGTGTCGATCATTGCATGTCTCTCATACGCTGCAGTGATAACATACGAGAACAAGCACAGAGATGCACACCCACCGCAGACCGAACTCACCAACGAGGAGAAGGCCGAGCTGGGCGATAATGCGCCGACATACAGATATTTGCTGTAGATAGAGTTGCATATGTGGCTGGTCCACAAAAGTTAGATACATACCCACCTAGTTAATCATTTTGCGTAATGTTGATGAATCACGAATGAATTAAGGATCTTTCTACCTTGGTTAGCAGACTGTTTGTCTATGACTCTGTTGGTGATTCGGTCTTGAATTTGACTCTGAATTTGCTTCTGATGGGTCAGCCCTCAAGAACAAAATCCTCCATTTCGATTCGTTCATGTAAAAGTCAAGAGTGTCTAAAGGAAACACGGAGGTTCGGCGGTATTGCTTTTAACTCTTCGTAGCTCACTTCTGCATTATCGTATTGGAATAGATGCTGTCCATAGACAACGAGGTCATTCATGCCGATTCCACGACTCTGGAATCCAAAGGAGTAGTACTCCGTAGTGATTTCTGGAAGCATCTATGAATATCAGATGAAAACTCTTCAACACTATTGACTTGCTGCCTCTACTGAGAGAGTGGTAACAAAGGATGCAGGTGACTTACACCAAAGAGTGCTATCTGTCGCTAAACCCAATTCCGCCCAGCTTCTACTAATGCCCCTCCTTACACGCCCTTCACGTAAAACAAAACCCCACTAGCAAGGCGTCAACTGCGCCCAAGTCAACCAAACTTTTTCTACAGTTATCAGCTCTTTCGATCGATTGAAGTATAAATATAATTCTCTATAGAGGGTATCTTGGAGCTTTTGTACAGTTATCAACTATTATACGTTTACAATGGCCACAATTCGACATGCCCGAAGGGAGGGTAAGCTCCAACATCCAATCCAATGCCTCTGGAGAGTCGTCATGGCGCTAACTTAAGCTCTCTGAAGATGCTCCCATAATTCTTCAGCTCATCCAGGAGCTTGCCGATTACGAGAAGGAGCCTGATGCCAACAAGGCGACCGTTGAAAGCATCCAGGCCACAGTCGCGTTCGCGCCCTCCGACTCTCCTAATATCGACGCCTCCATTATCCCAGCCACCGAACCTATATCACCAACGAAGCCCGCTCGTTGTCTTCTCCTCTTTACCCCCGAAGGTGAAGCCGCTGGCATGGCATTGTACTTCTACAACTACAGCACATGGCGCTCGCGTGCGGGTATCTACCTGGAGGACCTATACGTGCGCGAATCGGCACGTGGCAAGGGATACGGCAAGAAACTGTTGAGCACTCTGGCTAAACAAGTCCTTGCCATTGATGGCGCTCGGCTTGATTGGGTAGTTCTCAAGTGGAACGAACCCAGCATCAAGTTCTACGAGAGCATTGGTGCATACGCTATGAACGATTGGGTCGGTATGCGTGTAGATGGCGAGGGCCTGAACAAACTGGCCAATTTAACGGATTGATAGACCCAATGGAAAACAAAACAGTTAAATGTTCCCTGAGCACGGAGGCCATATGAAATGTGATGTCTATGACTTCTGCGTCTCAAGAGGGTTGGCCGCAGTCCTTGGTTGCGAATATGGCGCTCGTTGAGATCGGGAGGGGGGGTTTGGCTTTTTACCCTTGCTATCGACGCCCTCGAAAATAGCCAGTTGCGCTTTTGTAGGGGGGACCGCGGGGGTTGTCAAAGCACCCCATATGAACTTGAGCCTGTCTGGCTTCGAATCTGGATCCATCTTCGGGGTGAACTGCCAGACTCGTTGATAAGCACGCCTAAACCATCTGGGCGAATACTCCTGATGATTTAACCTTGGCTGATATGGATGCTTTTCCTTATTCCGTCCAACCAAACCATAGACGGAAAGCGGACTCTGACGCTCAACCTGAGAGGCCGGCCGAGCAGCATAACCCTGCCAATTCCAGGCATCAGACTTAGTAGTAGCACTGCGTGAGGGCTTCGCAACAGGTCGTCTTTCCGGAATTTTCCACTGATCTTCCTGTTGAGCGCCGCTGCTGAGTCGACCTAAAAGATCCCACTCATCTTTTCCAAGAGGTGGCATCGTTTTGTTTGAAATGCGCTTCCAGAATTTTGCTCGCTTGGCTTGATATATATTTGGGGTTGGTGGTTTCCCCCAGATGGTTTGACTGGGGACCTTTGATTCGGGTTGGAGGCTTTTGATATCTCTATGAGGCCAGGACAGTCTCGCTGATTGCTGTAAATCCCGCTGGCTGCGGAGGAGCTTTCGGAGCTTCTCGGTGTCCCACTTCGCATAGAATGCTGGCTGAAGAGGTTTTGGTCCTTTTCTTACCAGAGGCGCTTTCGCTTTTGGCTCTTCTCCATTGCCTGGTGTTTCGTTCGAGTCCTCTGAAGAATTCGTCGAGGTTTGACTTTCTATCGCTGTTTCGGCTCGTTTAGGTGGAGAGGGATCGGTTTCCAACTTAGTTGCTTTAAGCTCGACTGTTTCTGCAGACTTTTCGTGCGCTTCGACTCCTTGAATCAAGGCCTCCAAAGCATCCGAGTTGCTGGGAGGTTCAAGCTTTACAAAGTCCGAAAGTAGGCTTCGCCTTCGGGCCCCTGTTCTACCAAATGCCTCCATTATCAAGTCTTCCATGAGCGTTTGCTTGCCACTGTTTGCTGCTCTCAATTTACGCAGAAGATTGACCGCAGTGGCGCGGTGTCTGTTCTGGTGGCGATCATGTTTTCGATGGCTTCGAAATCGTGTTCGAATACGATGCGTAACCTCTGGACGTATTGCTGGAGGGAGATACGATGTTTCGCGAAGGATGTGTCGATAGAGGTGAAGAGGAGGTAGATAGGTGGGAATTACGGAATGAGGACGAGGCATTATGGCGACTGTAATAAGAGCGAGAGATAATAGGAGAGGCTCGAAGCCATGTGAGAGAATTTTAATTGCCAATTGCAAAGGCTCAAGATTGGGTCTTGAAATGATATTGAAGCATGCATTTTGATATCTACAATGGTATAATTTTCGTTTCCACGGTAGATCTTCGGACAGTGGGTTCAAGCGTCGGAGAGTTCGAACGCTTATAGCAGATAGAAAGGCAATGAACTGAATCTGATGTATCTGCAACGATGATCTACTCCAAAGGCATGGACTGGAGACAGAAGGCGATGTGTCTCAGTCATGTCAGTGAACAATCACCATGGCAGGGGTAAGAAGTCGCCTGGAGATACTTGTGCTCTAGCACCAAGAGCTTGAACGATGTACACCACGTCATTGATGGTATTGCATAACTCGGTTTCAACAGTGCGAATGGAACTGAGAGATCTATGCAATTCACAACCAAGGAAGTACCTGTTGTGTTATGCATGAAACAAAGAGTGGTCAAGTTATGACGGCCATCAACAAGTGGTTGCATTAGTGGCCTTGACAATCCGCGCGTGGCCTGAGAATTAATGGCCATAAGCTTCGTGTACTTGCACAATTCTTCAGCAGCCAATAGCCTGGTTGCGAACAACAAAGGCATGGCCACTGCAACCTACAGGCCAAGTTACAATGTTAGCGGGCCTCAAGATGAGTACATTGACCTTCGCGAGGCTTGGCTCGTGCGTTCACGGTCTTTACGCGCTTTACGCGCGAGACACGTCCAAGGGCGCGACCGAGCACGAAACGGACACGTCTCGATTAATTGAACGCATCTTTTTTTGCTCTTCCCGTTCTCGTTCACGCTCATGAGCCGAGGGATCGGGAACTTGCTGCAAGTGAGCACAACCTAACAAGTCACTTTGACGTGCATAAGCTTAGTACGGTTGACGATGGTACATCAATTAATTGCCTCCACCGAAGCCAATTTATCCCTCTTTATCAGGTGCAGAAGTAACCTGCATTAGCATCTTCTGAGCAACTCTCCTCTGCAAACACCCGACACCTGCCATCTTGATCACTTATTTGGTTTCATCCTCACCTCGTTCCCGTCTCTTACACGAACTTAATTGAAAGCAGCTATAGTGGAGGTCTTTCACCGGGCCAACTGAGCTACAGGCGGCTTGTTACGCAGAACCCGCTAAAGCATTGGCTGTCAGCGCACTCCCCGCTCGTCTCTGGGGCATCTTCCAGGTACCTGAGACCCTGGGCCGGTTCACCTGCAACTCACTTCCAATCACTTGCACAACTCCGCCCTGGCCGGCCCACTGCACTATCTTGAGCTACTCATTTCGTCTCAACTCCATCTTCATTCTGCAACCACCCAGTTTTTAGGCGCACAAAACGACTGAAACTCCGACCACGAAGCGCATGAGTGAGCCCGGATAACTACCTTTAGCCTCGTACGGCACTTTCAAACTACTGTATCCTATTATACTGCCCGGCCATATCGACCTCTTGTTTCAAACCTGCGCGTTTCCTTGCTGGCTGTACATACCCTTTCGACTTGTTCTTTCTCGTGGTACTGATTGGCGCTGTGATGCTATTACGCTTTCCATCAATCAACCTCGAAAAGCCTTCCCAGTCGAGAAACTGATAATATCACGCTGCGAGCAATCATCCTATATACGAGATGCCGTCAGCATCGCAATCATCTCAACAATCATTCAGCATGAGCCAACAATCGCAATCTGGTGTGGGTAATTCCTTCAGAGGTTACAATGGTGACTCTGAAGGTGCTACCATTTACTCGGTATGCAATGTCCAAAAACTTTACTACTCTCCCTCTGTTAACAATGGTCTGATATAGGCATCGTATTCTGGCGTGGATGTATACGAGATGGAGGTCAACAATGTCGCCGTGATGCGCCGTCGCAACGACTCATGGCTCAATGCCACCCAGATTCTCAAAGTTGCCGGAGTAGATAAGGGGAAGCGCACCAAGATTCTCGAGAAAGAAATCCAGACGGGCGAGCACGAAAAGGTTCAAGGCGGTTATGGAAAATATCAAGGCACTTGGATAAAATTCGACCGAGGTGTCCAAGTTTGTCGTCAATACGGCGTTGAGGAGCTATTGCGACCACTCCTGACCTACGACATGGGTCAAGATGGAGGTGTTGCAGGTCGAGGCGATTTTAATACACCAACAAAGGAACAAGCTATGGCCGCACAGAGGAAACGGTTGTATAATCAAAGTACGGATGGAAGACCTAATGGCCTTAGTGGGACATTTTTCAAGAACATCTCGACTACTGCCTCACATGCCGTCGCTGCCATCAGCAAGGCTCGCTTCGATTCACCAGGCCCTCGAAGCCGCAATGGCCCTTCGAGAGCACCCTCCTTTAGCCGCCAAGCATCCATGCAGAACGGAGATGATTTCCCAAGCAACTCTCAACAGAGCTTTGCCTCGGATTATGGACAACAAGTTGATTCAGCATACTCGACGCAACAGATTAATAACTCAGTTCAGATGAACGAGACGGAGCCTCCCCGGAAACGCCAACGAGTGACCATGACGCCAGGCGACAGCTTTAGCGGATATGGGCAAAATATGGACATGTATGCAGCGGCCTTCCCTGGATCACCAACGGAACCAAACGAGTCTTTTATCTACACTCAAAATACTATGCAGGATGGCTCGCCAGTGGACGAGGGTAGTGGGCCCTTGGCGCCTCTCCCTTACGAGATGTCCCCCGAGGTTGAGATGAAGCGAAACATGCTGATGAGCTTGTTTCTGGAAGCTCCTGGGACCGATCCTACAAAGCATGATATGCTTCGAAGTTACACCCCAAAGGAATTGGATATGCCCATCGACTTGCAAAGCCATACTGCTCTCCACTGGGCTGCTACACTCGCCCGCATGCCTCTGCTCCGTGCTCTCATCGCTGCTGGCGCTTCCCCGTCCCGCGTAAATGCTTCCGGCGAAACAGCCCTGATGAGGGCATGTTTAGTCACAAATTCACAGGATCATAACTCGTTCCCTGACCTCCTAGAAGTGTTGGGCAGCACCATAGAGGCACGGGACCACAAGGGACGGACGGTTCTTCATCACATTGCGGTAACGAGCGCTGTGAAGGGACGCAACGCTGCAAGCCGATATTATCTCGAAAGCCTCCTGGAGTGGGTTGTAAGGCAAGGTAGCGCACCTAATAGCCAGGCTACCAACGGGAACGGGCCCAGCGCCTCACAGTCGACCAACCCAAAAATGGGAATCGCCCGCTTCATGAGCGAGATAGTCAATGCTCAAGATAGTGTTGGCGACACGGCCCTGAACATTGCATCTCGAATCGGAAACCGCAGTATTATTTCACAACTATTAGAGGTCGGCGCCGATCCGAATATCGCTAACCGTGTTGGTCTACGTCCCCTTGACTTTGGCATTGGTAGTGAGAATGTTGAGGACAAGACGAACGGCGAAGTCAATGTGGATAAGAATGGTGCGACAGGCACAAATCAACGCAGTCGTGAGAGCAGTGACGAGATAGTAGCATGTAAGTTGATCACACCTCGAGAATCCATTGGTTCATTGCTAACACGAACAGCCATCTCTCACCTATTATCAGAAACAGGCTCAGCTTTCCAAACCGAGATGAAGGCCAAACAAGCTTCTCTCGACGCCCTTCATACCACTCTCCGCACTACGTCAACACAACTTGGCGAAGCCCGACGAACTTTCGAACACCTGAGCGCGACGCTTAAGAAGCAACAATTAGCTCGGCAAAAGGTCGCGAATCTGTCGCACGCACGTGAGGACGAGCAAGTCCGTCTCATGCAAGAACAATCCAGAGCATCACAGCCCAACCCCTCATCTTCATGGGAAACAGAGCTGTCTGCTATGCTCGAAGCCGCTGATGATACCTCTGGAGGTGGTTTTGGCGGTGAGGGCCTCCTGCCCTCAGCAGCGGTTCTACGTGCCCGTATTCGTGCCGTTGAGGGACGCCGTGACATGACTCGAAAGATGGTCGCCGCTCTAAAAGGACGGAGCCGCGATGTCGAAGTCAAGTACCGCCGTGTAGTGGCGTTGTGCACGGGAGTCCAAGAAGACGAAGTCGACGCTGTCATTGACGGTCTACTGAAAGCCGTGGAAAGTGAACACGAGGAGCTCGAAATTAACCGTGTGAGACGCTTCCTCGGCGGCGTCGAAGGTGTTGTGCACTGATGCTAAGTTCTTGGATTCCTTGTCTGCACAGCACACATCGGTTTGTGCTTACTGCAGACTGTAACGACTACATTTCCTGTACGATTCTGTGTTTATTTGTACACGGTGCTTTTGATACCCGCTGAGCCCGAAAAGCACCCCTGCTCGTGGTGGACTAGAACAATGGGCGTTTTCTTACTTTTGGCCATGGGGTGCATACCTTTCTGTTTATAGTTCCATTTCTGTTTCAAGCTTTTTGTCGCATTGTCGTTTTGTCTATGAGAACCGAAGATTGGACGACTACTTACCTATACCTGTATTTCTGGACGAGAAGGAGTGAGCATAAAAGAGGGAAGAGGAGAAGTTGGATAGATAGCGCCCTTGATGAGTAATGGTGTATAATATATGACATGAAGAATATTCATTGATTGGGTGCCTTCACTTCGGTGAATATAAGCTATATGAAAAGAGACTGGGCTGACTTGATGTACCAGAAAACTCCTGTGTCGCCCAATTCAAAACTCCAAACGCCATGCAATGCCATGTGATATATACAACCAAGCAGATGAATTCTTTACTTCAGCTCCAATACCCAGGGCGGTCTTGCCAATAATCTGATGGCATGTTCATGCAACGCCATTGCGATATACCCCTTCCCATCTCTCCTCAACAACCCCAACTTTGTTCCTCAGGACTTTGATCTCAGCGTCGAGCTCGTCTACGTTCCTTGACAGAGCGCTGACTTCCTCAAACCGTCTTGAACCCTGGGCAGTCTTAACCATAGCTTCAACCATGAAACGCTGCTCTTCCAAGACAACGAGTCGCTCGCGAAGCTCCTTTTCCTCCGCCTCGAGCTGACTCACAACTGTGCTTCCTTCACTAGGTGCTTGTGACGACGTCTCGTCAGCTAGCTCTGAGTGCCGTAAACTCGATCCGGAGTGGTGATGTGAAGCAAGAAGTCGTGAGGTAGAAACTGCTGTAGAAGATGATGCAGATGAGCGTGAGCGGAGCAGCTGAGGGAGGCTCTTTAGAGGAAGCATATTGGTGTGAAGAAAACCGCTAGCGTATGTATATATCGCCATTTGAAGACGTCGTTGTGTCGGACTCTCGGTTGGGAGATCACGCAGGCGCTTCGCAGCAATGCCATATTTCCCAAAGCTGTCAACCAAACGCTTGCGAATCTTGGCCGCCTCCTGAATCTGTGCATGTGTAGGAGGTGGCTTGTTGAGATCGATCTCTCCGCTCTCCTTTTTCTCCGGTTGTAGATTCAGTAGGGCCCGATGAAAAGATGGTAGAAGTTGCTGGATTCCACGCTCAAACTGCCTCAACGTTTCGTATGCTCGTTGGTCCACCGGTTTGTGCTGTAACGAAGCTGCAAAGTCCCGAGCGGAGAAGATTGTGTGCTTGCAATCACGACACATCCGAATGTCTATCCCAACTTGCCCGTCGCCAGTAACTGACAGGGGCTTTTCAGTCCCTGAAGGCGCCTTTGTCGCTCCGTTAGTTTCGTTAGACACATTGAGGCCAACTTCAGAAGAACATCCTGTCTGCGGATCGCCACACACGACACGTCCACATATACGGCAATGGTGCCTCCTAAACGTCCAAGAGCCAAATTCCTGCTGGCAAAAAGGGCATTTCGAGACAGTAGCATCTTCCTCCCAAGTAACAACGGACTGCTCGATGAGTTTCCGGGGGTTCTTTTGTCCTGCTAGTGATGTAACTGGGCCTAGTAAAGAGCCATTGGATTGTGTAAGTTTTTCGGGAGGGTTCGCTAGTAATTTTGTGAGTTTTGTTAATCGTTTTTCGAGTCGTGAGATTTCTAGATTCTGTCGTTCGACCTTTTTCCTTCTTATTTCCACGAATGCGTTGGTGTGGTCCGTCAATACACCTTGGTGATCGTTATATCCATCTCTTGATTTAAAGCATGTCTCGCAAACTCGCGCCCAGTAGCCTCGAACCGGTTCGTGCTTTGCGCTTCGACTCAATTTCATTTGGTACATGGTATGTTCCTCGCAGAATAATCGTCCACAATGTCGGCAGTTTATGCTTCCAGTCAGAGGTCCCAGACTTCTTCCGCACGCCGGATCTGTACAAAGGTCGTAGCTTGTAGACCGTTGCCAATGATGCCGTGTAATAAGTTCGTCGGGGTCAACCGGGCCTTCGAGAGGATTCTTTCCAGCAGCACTAGATGGCGCGGCAACAGGGAGTGATTCGTTTGATTCGAAGACATCGAGACCGCGTAGTTTTTGGTTGATAAGTGAGAGAGGCTGAAATCGTTTGGCTTTGAGAACCTGCTTGTCAAACCACGTCTTGACCTCATCCTGCTCCTCCTCTGGTAATTCTTGGTGGTTGTCGTCGATATGTCGGTTGAGTTGAAGAAGGGTCATCTATGGGCACATTATTTAGTAAATAGCATTCAACGTAGGTACCATCATAATTTACCATCTCTTCGTTGCATATTGGGCAGACAAGTGCGCCATCAGCAGGGCCTTTTCCTTGAGCACCAACGCTGATGCTATTCCCAATGTCCTGGCCCGGAATATCTGGTGAGATACCACTAACAGACGGTGATATCGACGATGAAGCTATCGAGATGCTGCTTTCGGACGCTGCTAATGGACTTGCTACTCGAGGCGCATTCGTAATCGGAGGTGTCGGGGGAGCAAGGCCCCTGCCGCTGCCTAGCACACGGCCGCCGCCCAATTTGCGGCCCGACATGATGAAGAATTTTGGAAACGAGAAACCAAAACCAAAGAGAGAAAGAGGGCGACCGTAGCTGGTCGGGCTCTATCTCGAGCTGCGCCGCGGGGGGGATGTTGGAAGTAAGATGATGGATTGAGGGGATACAGGATAGCCTGGCAAGGTACTGCTCCCAGTGGCTTGGTGCTCATGCCAGATAAAGAGGTACCTTGGACTCGGAGCTCCAAAGGCGGTGAACCAAGTACACTTATAGCATATGTCATGTTATACCAAACAGAGTTAGCTCTCATTCGCTTCCTCCCGTTCCCCGTCCGATGAGGTAAGAAAACTTGGGATCTCTATCTAGTATGAGAAAAAGATCGAAGCAGGTGGTGCAGCGAGGCCCAGCCTTAGGGAACAAGAAAGCACGAGACCTAAGTTTAGGGTGATAAAATAGATTCCATAAAAGGTACTCTACACTCATCCTAAATTAACTCAAGTCGCCCAAATCCTTTTATCATTTAGGCTCAAATTCCGAGTTCTGTGTATTTCCTCCCCTAGGCCCGGCTTATAGACCAGCTAGTTTTGACACCCTAGCTTGGGTTCTGGAGTTTTCTTGTCCCCCATGAGCCGTCGTGTCTTATCACAATCCCTGCAGCTTCGATAAGAGTCAACGTTTGTCACCTTTACAAGTACTTACCCGTCCCTGACTTTAGTTGATGGGGAAAAATGACCCCCATTCAGAAGCCTGTATCAGCCCAGCCGGCGCTGGCATCTCCGGCATCTCCTCCCGCCTCATCTACTCCCTCCTCCGAATCTTCTTCTGTTTCTGCTTCTGCTTCCTCCTCTTCTGCTTCAGTCGCAATGGCAAAGACTTATCCTCCTGTACAGCCTGGAGGCAGTTTGATCTTGGCATGGCAAATCAAGCACAAGAAGGTGCTTGTTGTCGGCGGTGGTGAGGTACGTCTGAATCATCATCACATGCGCCGAGCCTCGGAGTTTGATGTTTGAAGCGCTCGTCAATCACAAACAACCGTACAATCAATGATTCAACTTACCTGACAATTTTCTTTAGGTCGCTGCCGGTAGAATCTTAAACTGCCTCAACGCCGATGCCAACGTCACTGTCGTGTGCCCCAAGTCCGGCCTCAATGATGAAGTCGCCTACCGAGTCAGCGAAGGCCAAGTCGCTCACGTCGACCGAGTATTCGAGCCCGAAGATCTAGACGGAGCAAGCATGGTTCTGGTCGCTATTGACGACCCCGCCGCCTCGACCGTCATTTGGAAGCTTTGCAAGGAGCGAAGGATTCCCGCCAACATCGCCGACGTACCCCCTGAATGCGATTTCTATTTCGGCAGTATTCATCGCGATGGTCCCCTCCAGATTATGGTCAGCACCAACGGCAAGGGACCCAGGTTGGCGGCGGCCATTCGGCAGTTCATCGCCAAGCAACTACCCAAGAATGCTGGTAATGCCATCGAGACTATTGGTGAACTACGACTCAGATTAAGAAAAATAGCCCCCAAGCCTGAGGATGGACCCAAACGAATGCTTTGGTCAGTTCCATGAGACTCTTGACGTAGACTATACTGACAATCCCGATGATAGGATGTCCAAAGTTAGCGATACCTACAAGTGGGACGAGATGTGCGGCCTCACAGACGAAGATATGGACAATCTCCTTCTGTTTTATCCTGCCAACAAAGTTCCTGCGATGGACGTTCTGCTAGCTCTCCGAGGAGGCACCGACGTCAAGAAACTCGACGTCTTTGACGGCTCATTCGGCTTCAGTGTCGGTGCCTAGATACCGACAATACATACAGCAGACGATATCTACTAAACTATGGCGCAAGACACGGAGAAAACTACGACGTATACAATTTATTTGGGACAAGGTGCATATATGGTTGGAACATTTTGACTACGTATTGTAGATGGGGAAGACGCTGTCACAGCATTATTTGGTATGGAAACGCCGACTTCAGAACAGTTCACCAGTTGCGGTATTATTTTTTGAGGACATACTATTCATTCTAGATTGTCGTATTTACAGGTCCTTTGAATTGCTCAAACGCGCGGATGGTCGATCCCGAGACACATCGGCAGTTGATGTCAAAAACAAAACGAAACGCGATGATTCGCTCGGCAGTTGTCAGGGTGTAAGCACTGTATTATAGGAGGGAGAGATGACGATCATTAATTTTTTGTATTCTTCTCTATGGTCAAGTTTTTATCCGCTCAACCTTTTAGCTGATAAATTCTATGTCATCACGCATCATAAATTGGTATCATGAAAGGCTCTACAGCTTGAGAACCACCTTGTGGGTAGCAGTCTTCT